ACAATCATATTATATATAACCAAGTTTAGTTTAGTTTACATCAAGAAATTCGCAGCAAATTGCAGAAAGTAGAATTGTGGACATCTACAGATGGTCACTCATCCTTTAAAAGGGTGTTTTCATTGTTGCAATAGGCAATTGTATTGACGTCTTTTAAACATCAGAATATTTTCCCCTGGTTCAGGGGTTGCAAACATTTCACATAAAGGTCATGCAGCACAATAACCAACTGTCTGCCTTAAACTCATCTCCTGTCTGTTTTGACTTAAGAGCAAAACAAAAAAATGTCATTGTGTCATGCACAAGCCCAGTCCACATGGACTTCATAAGACACCACAACTGCTGTTGCAGTGGGGAAATGTCGAAAAACAACATGAAACAGACAAAGCACTTTGTCTCATGTCTGGAGATGGACAAATAGTATCTACTCCACCAAGAAAAGGCTCCTTTCCTAAAACACAACTGCCGGTTTTGTTTTGTCTGTTTTAATGTTTCAGAGAAGAACACGAAGAAGGACAAGTTAGAATGTCCTAGAATACTGAGTTATGAAACAGGAAGTCTTTCATCTCAACTAACAAAGCCCTTTCTCTTCATGTTGCCTGTTTCTAAAGCAAATGGTAATGTACCTGAGTGAGACTGTATCTGGACCCAACTTACTACTGATTATAAGGAGACAAGATATTAAGAAAGGTTTTTCAAACCTCTCAGTGCTTTGTTATGACATCACCAGCAAAATAAACAAATAATGATATGTCAACCTGTATGGACATTTTAATTGCAAGGCATTAATGTTGATTTTGTCCAGAGCTCCTGCAGGTAGTGCTACACATCTGCTCAATTAGAAACTGCTTTTATTGTGCGATGCTTATTATCTGCTGCCCTGCTTTAATCAGCCCTGACTCTCAACTCTCTTTGCTTTCAGTCTGGACTCAAACTCCACTTCAGCCTCTGCTAATTTGCTCTGGCTTTCCCTCAAATCCTGCAGCCCTGTGAGACAGACAGAGAAAAGAGGCTCTAATAACTCACTCCTCGGCCGATCGGTTGCTGGTGGCTGTTCAAGGGAGCGCTGGGAGCCGGAGACGGAGTGGGAGGACGAGTGCAGCTCCTCCACCGAGGATTCTGGGCTGTCTGACACCGGCGCCAGAGAGATCTGCGTGTCCAGGTCCAGGAAGGGGGAGAAGGAGAGCCGGGTGGGGTCTATGTCCTGGAGCTGGTTGATGATGTCACTGATGGACTCCTTCATGCTGTCCAGCTCCTTCACGTTCTGCCCGTTAGCGGCCTGAGGCCCCGAGGTGCTCATAGTCACACAGCCTGAGAGGAGGAGGGCCAGACACAAAAACAAGACCAGAAACCGTTAAAAACACAAAACCAGGGACACACAGGGTCGTAAAACCTACTCCATTTTCTTCAAAGTGTTGGAGAGTCGGAAGTGGCGCATGCCTTTAAAAAACACCCATTTATCTTTTATTAGATTCACTATTCACTTTCTTTTAAGCAGCCAGTAGCATTTCAAAGTGCCTTTCAAAATATTACAAAGAGAGGAGAGTTGTTTTTAGATATTATCTTTTTATATTTTATTTGTTCCCCTTTCTTATACCTGTGAAGCTCTTTATAGCCTCTGATTTTAAAAACCTTCAGTTCACCAAAGGCACAACAGCCCTCTAAATTAGACAAGTATGGATCCTTAAAACTCAAAGACTGTTGGGACTTTATGTGGAGTGATGTCAAACTGGTCATGTGGGAAAGGGGCTTTTTTTTGGTGAATAAAGGAAATCACCGTTGATATCTTTGTGGATGGTTGTAGAATATCAGCACCGACAGCTAGTCAGTATCTTACTCTTCAACGTCACGCTGCGTGTGCATGTTTGAACTGTTTTATGACATTTTGGCTCAATATTCTGTTTTATTATTTGTCATGCTTTTGCTATTAGTTTTGTTTGTTTGTTTTTGTCTTTTAAAACCGGGCCCCACGTCTTATAACTTAATGCTGAAGTCACTTTTGATTGATTCCTTTTGAGGATTGATACATTGATCTTAACAGTGATATTGCTTCAACTGGAATTAAATTCCTGAAATCAGTGTTTCTAAAATCTTGGATATGAACTTACATGGAACTATATCATAAAGCAATATTTCAGCACCATACTTCCCAATCTGTAAGGCCTCTGACCCTGTATGTCAGGTTATGACCTCGGTGTGGTCATGTGGTTGTGAGCCATGCTCTTTGTCTTCCAGGATTTTTAGGGATAAAAATGTCATGTTGAATATGTGTTTAGGGAAAGGTAGGTGTGTCCAAAATGTAAATTGAGAGATGTTTAAAGGAAGTAACCATATGTAACTACTCACATGTAAATAGCAAACTAAGAAAAAAGGAATACATGAGTTTCTGTAATGTAAACTATTATTTTGAGGCATTGAATTGTTCCTACTGTCAATCCCCTGATCACCCCATGACTCATTCTGACAGACCTTACAATGAAGTACAGAGAGTTTCAACATTAAGGAACAGGAAAGATGCTGGTCTTTGGGTATATGAAAGGTGCTATTTAAATGTAAGTAATTATTATTATTAAGATGCTGGAGATGCAGAAGGTCCCTATACAGCAGCAAATTGTGACCTAAATAAACCCTGCCCTAAATGCAGCGGTAAGCATTTGGGTTTTGGGTGAGATGTGAATAAACCACCCACTGCATCTACAGTGTTATAGAAGTGATGCCCCTTCATTTTGTACAATGTTTACAGACCATGGGGGAACGTTCTCCATCAGAAAAATATTATACTTGCAAAATGTGGGATATAAATAAATGTTTTTCTGTTAAATGTGTTTTTTTGATCTTTTAATACCCTTGATTTGTCCTAAGGAGGGCCCTGACCTCTGTAACATCACATCAGAAAGGATACTGAGAAATAACACAAAGCAGGTTTATTGCTATAAGATAAGTAAGTAAATGTAAAAATATCATGATTTATGTAAGGATAACCCAGGTTTGCATAATTTGGTTAGCACTGGTGGAAAGTAACTAAGTACATTACTTGATACTCCATTTTATGTTACTGAATAGTTATTCTGCACTAAATAGCCTATTGTATTTCTTACGCCAATATTTTTATACTATATATGATGAGATTAATTTATAGAATATGATGCATTTTAGTCCAACAGCACATGAAACAGTTACAATTAGCTAAATTGTTCACATGATCCATGACACTGGCCGTTTAAATCTACATAATGAGTACTTTAAATACTTGAATAACATTTCGTGGGCAATACTGATGTATGTTTGAGTGAAGGGCTTTTGTAATTGAGTACTTAATAAAATCGCTGCTTGTTCCTTGATACGTCCTATGAGTAGCCTTTCGGTAATTTCTTACAAAAAACTTAATTCGGTAAAAGTAAGCTATAGTAGGCTACAATCAAATGATAAACGCGTCCGACAAATGACTGTAAAATAAACCATGCGCCTTTGTCGGTCTGCCGTTATTTGGAACTGCATGCTGCCTTTCAGAGGTTTTCATTAACATCTGCAGATTCAGTTTGGAGCGTTTTCTTCTGGATGTTTTTGGCGCACATCCAACAGTGGCGCAGAATCTGCACGCAAAATCTTCGGCAGGGATCTTATCATCTTTCTCCAAATAAATGGGCACGATACCATAGAGCGCACATAAGGCTCATTTGGGCTTTAATGTCGAAGAGGAGTAAATCTCGCTGGTTATCAGAGCTGGCTTGGATGTGGAAACGCGCGTAGGGGGCAATGTGATTTACTGCCCGTAGGAAAAAAAACACGTTTCTCCCGCTGCTGGGTAACTCTCTCTAACAAAATGTGTTTACAATTTCTCATACACACAAGCAAGTAAAGTCTGGACTGGTATGGTTTTGAATAGAGGCTGCAGGAAATGCCTAATTTGGTGATATATAAATCAAACGCGCCCGCATGAATGTGCGCGTAAAGGACACACTAGTTTTTCTCAAATAGCAGCAGCGCTGAAACCTTATATTAAGTGGCCATTCAGCAGCAATTACAGCAGTTAAAGTCGGATTTCAGGCACAAATGTGATTGAATACAACTCCATGAAATGCCTTCCAAGCGGGGTATTCTACTAGAAGCATGCGGCATATAAATGGACTTACTTTTGTCGGAGGTTGCAGAGTATTTGGTGAGTTTACTCTTCTGGCAGAAAAAAAAAACTCTCTCCGTCCTTCTCTGCCTTTCTTCCCTCCCCCTCAGTTTGCTTTTTGTCTTCCAGGATCCTGAACTTCTGAATCAAATTTCAGGTCGGACAAAATACTAGCATTTTCCTCCGCCCACAAGAGTTTTTTTCTTTCCTGGGTACCATGTCCAACACCATATGGAGCAAATAAAGCCCGAAGAGGAGGAGGGGGAGGCACAATCTCTCAGTTTACCTCCAAATTCAACACTAACAATCACATCATCACAAAAACGAGTTTAACTAAACAGGACAGTAAACATTAACTCTCAAACTAAAGCTCAGTGATCCTTGTATTTTCCTACGTGTACTAGTGTAATGACTTTACAGCACCACTGTGTGTTGTCCTTTATTTATTACAACACCATAATGAGCTACAAGCTGTTCACAAGGAATTTATAATTCCACATTTGCAGTCTGTGGATTCAATTAATGACCAATAGTGGCTTTAATACTTAGTTTATATGGATACAATTGCTTTTTGTTTTTTTACTACAATGACTTGATTGGCTCTGAAATTATTATTTGATCGACATACATTTCTCATCACCAGCATTACAAAAAGCACTTGATTGCTTAAGTAAGATATTACATTTTTTAAAGCATAAATTATAGTTTGAAGCATAAATATTTGCTGTTTTTAAGCCTCTAATATGGGAAGCTTTTCTGTTTAACATCATGTTTTGAAATAGCAACTGAAAAAATACAAGACCTTTGGTGTCCCGAGGCTTCCTTTTACGTTAGATTTTATAGTCTAAAGAAGGAATTCATTTTTCTTAAGTATTTCTATATCACTATAATATAGCAAATCTGTTAAATAAAGCTATAATTTAAAAAACAAAAACGTATTATGCTGTTCTTAAGGAGTCGTCCGCTGCAGCAAAGAACATTAGATCCATGTCTTCTTTGAAAAGTAAGAAAGTGAATATTATTTCTGTATTACCACAACCTTAAGCTGCAAAGTGATGACACCTGATTCCCACATCTCTGCCAATTGCTTTCCTGAACCCGACACTGGTGGCTCTTTCCTGCTGCACAGGAAGTGAAGAGTTGTATTTGTTCAGCAACAGGAACCACATTAGAACTACTGCTCAGAAACACAGCTGAAACACTCAGTTATGATAAACCCAAAATAAAATACCTGACATGAGTTTCTGACAAACCAGCAGAGGATGTATACCGGGTTCAGGCTGTCCTGTGGAATATGTATTATTTCATAATATTAACAGTGACAGGATGACTCAGAAATGTGACTTAATTCTGATTAATCACAGTTAACTCAATGAAAATATTCACAGCTGTCCATTTTAACATCTTCCTCCTCTTCATCATCATCGGGAAGCAGCTCTCATGACAAACTTTAGTATTAAATCAAATATTATTTCCCAGAACTGAAACAGATTAAACGCATCATCCTGGAAGTGAAGCAAGTGTGAGTGACAGGACAACTTTATTTCCCCCATTTATAATCAGGGTGATTTCATTCCATAAAAAAGCATATCTAAAATATACAAAGATAACAGCAGTCGATTAGATATATAATTAATAAATAAGAAAAATCATATTTCAAGTTTTTTTTAAATATACACAAACACTGGGCAGCAGTTTATTGCCCTGTGGAATGAGTCTTGGAGACACAAAGTTTTGGTGATGAACAACCAGCAGCATGTTCGAAATACCGATCCGCCACAAAAGGTTAGCTAGTTCCAACTGCTTTTAGCCAAAGCATAAGAAAGCAAACGCGAGCTGTGAAAGTCACTTAAAGTGGTTCAGTGGGGGAGGGAGTCTTGTTAGTCCTCCGACAGCAGCCGGTGGAAGTGATCCTTCCTCTTCTTCAGCACCTCCCGAAAATCTTCCTGAAAAAATATAACAGGAGATATTTGGCCTGAATGATGAAACCGGGGAGGAAAGACAACAAACCTGTTGCTGCAGATAACCAGCTGCTTTATTCAACTGACTGAAACATCTAGCAGCTGCACTGATCAGAGGAATACAACTGAGGGGATAAAAAACACAGGGAAGTCTGAGGTCATAGTTAAACCCTTCTACTACTTTATGGATAAATTCTTCAACATTGCAAATACATTTGAGGAATTTAAACTTTTCTCTAACAATCTGACTCTCTACAAAGTTTGCTGCATCCCTAGACATCTAACACTTCTAGCTGGTAAAACATTTAAACCTTTACTATAATGAAGAATGGGTCATACATTTGGAAGTGTCTTGAAAAAATGTGAACCGTTTATAAGATTATTGTCACGTCTTTAAAAAAATATTGTTCTCATAGCATAAGTTATAAACTTAGTTTGCCTTTTATCCCTTACCACAGGTGCTTTTTTTTTTTGTGTGTCCAATAGTCTCAGCTGGGAAGTTTGTTAAAAAGTTTGTCTGTTCAATGTTCCAACAAGTTTGAAATCATTGATGTAGTAGTGATTATCACATAGTTATTTTGCTTGAAATGCAGATCCCTAACTTCAATCCCCCATTCATAGGATCTGAAAAACACTGGTGTGTCAGTATGAATGTATGTAATACGTAATAATCATAAAGCTGATAAGAGGACAGACTTACCGCTGCAGACATTTTCTCCATGTAGGGGACGAGCTTCTGCAGTTCTCGGTCCTCTGGCTCCCCGGACCAGCTCTTGATGGGTATCGTGTTCATCAGCTGCAAACCACCCACAATTTAAATGAATAAGGTCTTCTATTTCTTTTCACTCTGATAAAAAAACAATAATATATAATGTTTTTGATGTTATTCAAAAGACAAGTCTGATGATATTCTACACTCTTCCCTATTGTCTTCAGTTAAAAAAGTACTGAGACAAACTCCTCTCGTGATTTAGTTTCTGTCATTGGACTTGCAGATTAGAAAAGAAGGCAGCATCTCAGCAGCCCTGCCCATTAACAGCAATGGAAAAGACACAGCATCACATCTGAAATCACAGTGCTTACATGGTACGGGTATGTGTGGGGGGCGTTGTCCAGAACAACCGTCTTGGCGAGATCCCTCCCGAGAACGCCGAGATCTTTGATGTAGTGTCCGAGGACGCAGGCACAGTCGTCCTGATACAGGCGATGTCTGCAAGAGAATGCAACACGTTTAAAACCCGGTGTTAGGATGGTATGTGCAAGACGTCCTTGTCTGCCTCTCTCCCTCCTAGATAATCAGGGGCCACTTTATAGGTACATCTATACAATCTAATGCAAAACAGTACAACAATCTTTGCCAAATGCATTTAATGTTCACTTTTCTTATAAGAGTGCAATAATGCAGACAAGTCAAACACTTTTGAATTATTCAAAAAATCTACATTTCCTGGCGAAAATGTCTCTGTTACTTTAAAGTCAGTGCACACGTCACCTACAATATCTGAACTGCCTGAGAGCTGAGAATGAAGCAAAATATTGAACTGCAGAGCTAAACAACGATCCATATCTCACTATAAACTCTGGAAAGTTAAGGTGAGAAACGGGTCGAAAAGATAAATATCTGTAGCTTCTACTAGTAGGGACTCATTTCACATTGCTCACACTTTTATACGCTGTTTTTATAAAAAAATTGGAATAAAGCCACTTTCACTGAGGAGTGGGGTTTGAGGAATATTTAAGGAGACTAACAAAGTAGGGCAGCATTTCTTTCAGAGTGGGGTTGTTGCACAAACGCCTTTTTCGAAATTCTTGTTAAGTGAGCTTTTGGTCGATTATCTGTTAATCTTTACATCCCTTTTCTAAGAGACATCAACCACCTGAAGCCAAAATAAAATGAATCTCTACTGCCCTCATCGAAAGCGAGAGTGTAAGTCAGGGTAGGAGTCAGCTAAACCTCTGATACTGAGAAACTGACCAGAAGTCAGACCACAAGCAGAATATGTAAAGTTTCTGAGCAGATGTCAGAGTCACAGACAGGTCAGCCTGAGCGCTGCCGAGCAAAGAGTTTATAAAACACAAGTGGACCCAGATCTTATGGAGACATACCGAAACAGTTTTCTCTGCGGGTCCAGGATGTCCAGTATCTTCTCTGCGTATTCTTTCTTTGCACATGTGTAAACAAACATCTGGAACAGAACACAGACAGCAGCTGGAACCGATTTCTCACAAACAAGAACTCAACAGGGCGTCAAGTCCCCACGAAAACAACATTTAGTTGAGTATACACAGAAAGATAAGATTTCAAAAAAGGTTCAGATTAAAAGTTAAATATGACAAAGTAGTCATATAGTACATATAGAAGGGGCTGTATACGATCTGAAAACATCAGACAAGTAGGAGCGATTTACTGCATATTAAAACATCATTTTATTCCCTCAAAACAAACTCAAGAGCCAAATACACCAATCAATGACAAGACAATTTAATATCAAATAACTCATACCTCATAGTTTTTGGCCATGGCCTGCAGAAACTCTTTGACATGTGGTCGTAGGATCATGTAGACCTGTTGATAACAAACCAGAGATAATGACAAAATAAACAAATAGGTTTACACACATTTCTTATAGGGCTAAACGCACTGAACTGATTTGTCCAATATCCTATTCCATCATCAGTCAGTGGGCTTCAAACTCAAAGACGTGCAGCATGTGGTCACCTTGTACTGATGGTCCTGGAAAGCGGTGTTGAAGGTGAACTCTGCTTCCTCGATCACATTCAGAGAGCTGAACATCAGGGTCTCCTCCTGAAAGAGCACAGATCAATGTGACTTACATTTGGACTTCAGAGGCAGAGCACAAACAACTCAGAGTCAGGACAGCAGCACTCCTGCTAAAAGGTCAGCCCAGCCGACAAAGTAATCTCAACATTCCTGTGGTGTACATCAAAAAATAAATCATAAAAAATAGAATCCGGGTGTGAGCGCCTCTGTTCTTTGTAGTTACAAACATCTACTGAAATGAGGGGACATAATATGATATTTTATTGATTTATAAGTTGAAGCTCCATGTTTAAAAGGTTTATAGCGCAGTATGCTCAACATAACTATCAAACACGACATACAATAGAAGGAAGGTTCGTATTACCCAAATCTAAATCAAATATGGGACAGAAAACAGTCATGTACAGAGCCATGGTCAGCTGGAATTCTTTACCTGTCCATATCATTCAGGAAAATTCTCAAGTACATTTCAAAAGGTAGCTAAAAAATACTCTCAGTAATATAAAGTAAAATTGAACTGTGCCTGTGGGTATGTATATATTATTATGTACACTTATTTGTATTTTTTTGTTTGACCTTATGATGGCGAAAATTGGATGATGAGCTGTTTTGTTTTATGTATGTTTTGTGTGTGTGTGAGGACCCCAGGAAGAATAGCCAATGCTCATGCTAGTGCTAATGGGGCTCCTAATAAAAAATACAAAGACATTTTTTTAAGCTCCTGAGGATTAAACTCACCAGGTCGACCACCAGCGTGGCCTCGGGGGTGCTCCTGGTCTTGGGAGGAATATCTGTGATTTGTGGACGGGAATGTTGCGACTGCGACGGTATGTTTTTGATGAATGTGGAGCTGGAAAATAAAACAACACTCTTAGAAACGGAAAAATGTTAATAATTACATTGAAATGTACGTTATGTTGGACAAAGGCTTTGTACGTACGGACTGAAGATGTCCTCATCCTCTTCTCCAGACAAGAGGTCAATTGAGCCAAATCCAAACACACCTTGTTCTGGGCTCATCAGCACGTCCCCAGAACCGTCACGTTTCACGTCTGGAAGGAAAATAAAATTCAGAGCTTGAGAGTTCAGTTCTTTTCATCGTTAAGCAATCAATACCAACTCCGGCTGTCAGCTCACCACAATGTCCTTCTTATTTGATACACCCCGGGTGGGAATTTACCACAAGTCACCAGAAAGACACTGGTACATTCATGCTGCGGTTGTTAAGCAAGTTTATTCCACCAGGCACTTTCATCATACGAAAAGAAAAAAAAACGTTGAAGGAATGGCTGGATCTTTTCCACAATTAACGGTTAATGAAAGGGACAATAACATGTTTACTATTTAATATAAGTATGTTTACTGTATCCATTGATGGCCCTACAGTCTCTAAAGAATAGAGAATTGCAGCGTCAGCGCATGTACTCACTCTCTTTAGTGGGTGTGAGGAAACGCACAATGGGCGAGTATATGTTTTTGGACGTTGTATTGCGAGGCGACACTGGGTTGATCTCTGACAGAATGCGCTCCCGTTGCATGATGGGCCTGATGGGAGTCTTGAAGGCCAAATCTAGTAAACAAAAAGACAATCAGTCAGAAAATATAAAAAAGAGCAGGGGGCAGTGCAAGGAATATATCCTCAGGAATGAACATTTTTTATTTTTTATTTAACCAGATAAAAAACATTGAGATAAAATCTCATTTTCAATGCTGACCTGGCCAAGAAGGGCAGCAACGTTACACATAACACATAACACAAACATATAAAATACAGAGAACATAAAGAAAACAAAAGACGAAAAAGCAAGTCACTACATTGTGCACATTAGGACAATAAAAAAAGTACACTACTTGTTACTGCAAGAGCAGCTGGTGGTGAGGACTTCAGACAACTTCAATTTAAAACATGAAATAGAGACAAGTGCCCTCAGTTTAAGGCGTGATTGAAGGTCATTCCAAGACCAAGGACCATAATAAGAAAGACTCCTTTTTCCAGCCTCAGTCCGTACAGTAGGAACCTGGAACCGTATCCAGGCACTGGATCTGAGTTTGTAAGAGTCACAAACTGGAGCAAATCTGACACATATGTAGAGTGGAAGCTTACCTAAAATGGCTTTATACATTAATAAAAACCAGTGCTGCATCCTACGCATAGTAAGTGAGGACCATCCAGTTAGGCTATACAATGTGCAATGATGAGTCCTATAGGGTGCATTTGATATATAACGCAGTGCAGCATGGTAAAGTGGGTCAAGTTTGGCCAAAACAGTGGGACAGGCAAATCTATAAATGGTATCACCGTAGTCCATCTGGGATAGGAATAAGCCAGAGACCAACCTTTTACGGGATGAAATTGAAAAACAACATTTAAATCTGAAAAGGAAGCCAAGAGTGAATTTCAATTTCTTTGTTAAAACTTCAATATGGTGTTTAAAGTTCAGATTACTGTCCAACCAAAAGCCCAGATATTTGTAGGTATCAACAAATTCAACAGAAACGCCATCAAGGGTGTCAATGGAGAGGCAAGAGGAGGACGCTGACTTGGGAGCAAAAGCATTGCTTTGGTTTTCTTACTGTTCAATAGCAGTTTAGAATCAAGAAGCGCATGCTGCAGCGTGATAAAATCTGATTTGAAATTGGAAACGGCCATATCCAGAGAAGGAGCACACGAGTATACAATAGTGTCATCAGCATACATATGATAGGTAGAAAATTGCATCTGATTACAAATAGTGTTTACATATAATGAAAAGAGCAAGGGCCCCAAGATAGAGCCCTGTGGAACTCCCTTCTCCAAGGTGACAGGGTCAGAGACAGTACTACCCAACCTGACGCATTGAGTGCGGTCGGTTAGATAACTCTGAAACCAGCAAATGGCATTGTGACCGAAACGAGACACCAACATAACATTAGACATAATGTGGTGATCTACAGTGTCAAATGCTTTGGCTAGGTCAATAAACAATGCAACACAAACAGATTTTTTATCCAAAGCAGCCTTAATATCGTCCAAGACTTTCAGACTGGCAGTCACAGTACTGTGCTTTGATCTGAATCCAGATTGCATAGGGTTAAGGATGTTGTGTGAATTTAAAAAAAGTTTTAGCTGAGTAGAAACTAGGGACTCAAGAATCTTTGATAACACAGAAAGATTTGAGATAGGACGATAGTTATTCAACTCCGTGGGATCACCAGCTTTCAAGAGGGGCGATACCAGAGCTTGCTTCCACACAGCTGGCAGTGTGTGAGTGGACAGGGAGAGATTAAAAATATCAGTTACTGGTTGTGCTATAATCTGAGCTGCAATTTTTAAAAAGAACGGGTCAAGGCCGTCAGACTTTTAGGATCAATCGAGTGCAAACCCTGTAAGACTTCAGAGACCGAGAAATAAGCTAAATCAGGTGTAACAACATTATAAATAAAAAGTATCCTTGGAAAAGCTTGAAGCTGCCATTCATACCAGATTCTCCATCATCGACCGCGATAGCTCTCTTCCTCGTCCGACCACGAAGCAGCGGTCGCCTTGTGATTGGTGGGATTTGGTCATATGAGTATTGGGAGTCATTATCCGAGGTCTCTGTATCCTACACAATAAAAAAGAGATAAAAAAGTAATTGAAGTGTCACTATAACTGTTGGAATAATGAGGGTAATTCACAATTTTACTGCTATCATTAAGGCAATTCTCCATAATTAAATGTGTATTATAATCTAAAATACATCCAAATATCTGAATAACTGAAGTGGCTTTGTGCAACATTATGCATAAAGCCATAGTCTTTGACACAGACAAACAACACTACTAATTGTGCTATCATTCGAATTCAGAAAGACAAAAGGCTGAACAAAGAGAAAAAAGAGCGGTCGTGTTTAAAAGTTTCTGCCAATGCCAAACAGCTTATTTTTGCTGTTGACTCTTGATTGGATGATTGAGGTCTGATGAAACAAGACATATTGGCAATTTAGCTATTTATTAGTTTAAGGGCAGTCATGTCAGGCCTCCTGGCAGCCCTATGAGACCGGTGGTTGGCTGCGTGAGGTCTGTTCCGGATTGTTTGGGCAGAGAGCCGTCGGCCATATCGTCCTGCAAACCTGTAGAAGACTGCCTACGGTTCCCAATTGTCTTCTTGGGACCTCCACTTCGCAACCGGTCTCTGACATCCACCGTTACATAAAACGTGGCCTTAAGTTTGCTGGTGGGTTCACTCCAAATAATGCCGCGACTTGGTTTTCCGCCCCTACCCAGACAAACATGGCATGCCGATTCTTGGAGCAGACACCAAGGTTGCAGTCGAATAGTCCATTTAGCTTAGAGTGAAATGACCCGGAAGTCCCTCAGTGGCAGCCATGATAAGTGCCGTTCGAATTCTCTAGATGATAGGGAAGGAGGTTTCAAACTTCCTTTATAACCTCCTTTAGCTTCACTGGACCTCCCTTTACGAAAGGAGAGGAGAAAATGCTGCCCCACAATGCCTTGCAGCCGCAGAATTTGCCGTCACACAACATTCGGCGGTTCACGGAAACAACCGATTATGACCGAGAAATGATATCATGAAAGTTACGGTGCTTATTAAGCTTTTTAAAACGTATGTGGTAACTTGCCATAGTGCTTTGTTTTGAACGTTCATCAGTATTATAATCAAAAAGAGAAATATGAACGTTAGTTTTTACTGAAATGATCAAATAAAGTCAACATTTCACAGTCTTTACTGAGCTGTGTGGGGTTTGTTCAACTTTTAAAAGATGTTTGAATGGTGATATACACAGTGATAGATGTTAAGGACTAACGTTTATAATAAATACATTTGTATTGATTTTAAGATCTTTTCAAAGTTCATACAATCATACGTATTGGGATCATTTGTATTAATGTGGACCGGAGGGAGAGGGTGACGAGCATAAGTTTCACTTTCCTTTTTTATTTCAATTCCAACTTTGGTCATGAAGAATATGTTTCTCTGTTGTCCACGTTCATAAAGCATAACACAACAGCATCAGAGCACGGTGCAGTCTCTAGATGAGTTTACAGTAGTCCGTCGTTCTTATTATAGTCCGCTGTAGTTTCCATAGTTTCCCCACAGCAGCAGCAGACGCACATTTATGACGTCCGCTGGCGCATCATAAACACGTCGGATAGTGAAAGTGCAGTCGGGTTGCGGTCGAATAGTCCATTTAGCTTAGGAACCTTCCTAACGGAGTGAAATGACCCGGAAGGCCCTCAGTGGCAGCCATGATAAGTGCCGTTCGAATTCTCTAAATGAAAGGAAAGGAGGTTTCAAACTTCCTTTATAACCTCCTTTAGCCTAGGAACCACTGGACCTCCCTAACCGAAAGGAGAGGAGAAAATGCTGCCCCACAATGCCTTGCGGCCGCCGCATTTGCCGTCACACAACAGTCGGCCGTTCACGGAAACAACCGATTATGAATGAGAAATGATATCATGAAAGTTACGGTACTTATTAAGCATTTTAAAACGTATGTGGTAAGTTGCCAAAGTGCTTTGTTTTGTTCATCAGTATTATAATCAAAAACAGAAATATGAACCTTAGTTTTTACTGAAATGATCAAATAAAGTCAACATTTCACAGTCTTTACTGAGTTGTGTGGGGTTTAATTGTTCCATTTTTAAAAGATGTTTGAATGGTGATATACACAGTGATAGATGTTAAGGACTAACGTTTATAATAAATACATTTGTATTGATTTTAAGATCTTTTCATACAGTCATACGTAGGCCTATTGGGATCATTTGTATTAATGTGGACCGGAGGGAGAGGGTGAGGAGCATAAGTTTCACTTTCCTTTTTTATTTCAATTCCAACTTTGGTCATGAAGAATATGTTTCTCTGTTGTCCACGTTCATAAAGCATAAAATAACAGCATCAGAGCACGGTGCAGAGTCTCTAGATGAGTTTACAGTAGTCCCTCGTTCTTATTATACATCCATGTTGTAGTCCGCTGTATAGAAAACTGTAGTTTCCATAGTTTCCCCACAGCAGCAGACGCACATTTATGACCTCCGCTGGCGCATCATAAACACGTCGGATAGTGAAAGTGCAGTCGGATTCTCTAAAGTACCGCAGTCTCTTCTCCTAAATCCTTTTTAATTCTCCTATCCACTATCCCTTAACCCCATGACGTTTCACTCCGAGGTCAAGGGATAGACGATAGGGATAGACGTTAGGAGCTGATTTTGGACTATTCGACCGCAACCCAACTGACCCCTGTAGCAGGGCCCATGCTCACAGGTGCTGACAATCAGGGGCCAATCACTGCTATTGACTCTGGGGGGGACCAGAGTCAGGCAATGCCTACATTTGATTCCTAAACAAAATGATTCAAACACACATTGCTAGAGTCCTGTGCGTCTTCACTCTTGACCTACTTGTCTGACTGGGACCCTGTCTCACAATTTATGTTGCAGTCTTAAAGCATCCATTGACGGAATTGAATGCCACTGGTTGCTTATTAAACTACATCCTGCTCCTTTAAAATATAAGGGCGTAAGTGTCTGATGCATATGAAAACACCATCACATTCAAACTAAAAAAGTGGGTCACTGTACAATATTTAACTCTAAAAAGGATCATATGTAAACAATTAGAATACGTCTAATGCAATACAATTGAACAGCTGCCCACAACAACCTCCGAACGTTAAATGAATAACCCTCTAGCTTCATGCTGTTAAGAGTTATTGCAAGGCTGTTGTTACGCTGTATTAGCTTTGAGCTTGGTGTAACGTTACCTAATACAACTGGCAACCGTATACCTGAACGTTATCAGCCATCCTCCCATTTTAACGCTAGCTAACGTAATGCTCATCAGTTTCGGGTACAAGCAAACCAATAATGTATTATAACAACACTGTTGTTTTGTCAAAGAGCATATGAATTTGTTCTTCCCTGATTAAGTAAAGTAGATCACATGTAGTGCACAGCTTTAGCACAACAGCAGCTAGCTAGCGTTAGCAACACCACCTACTGTTATGATTTGAGAACACTAGCTAGCACCAAGCTAAACAACGTCCGGGTAACGAACATCACACTGCCCTAAATACAGAAACTAACAAGGTGACATTTTTGTTATTTTAACAAAGTAGATTACTGAGAATACAAATCGTATCAAACTGCTCTGTGTTACCTTGGTTTGCAGAGGGCTTTCGGTCCATGATAAGCTGGTTTGTCTCGCTTTGTTGGACCGTCGGCGGGTGCTTCTCGGCAGCTCCGAGCAGGATGCCGTAGTGGTTTTTTTAGACCTGAGTCTCATTTTACTTCTTTAAATGGGACTGTTTAACGTAGAAAACATCAAACTCGTCCACTGTGATTAAGCTTTCAGTCCGATCGCTTTGCCCCCTTCTTTATTTCCCCCTGCAGTCCGGGTTCAGGGTGTAGCTCCGCCCCGCTCCGCCCCGTGTCTTCTCGATCAGCAGCGTGTTCAAATCTGCCGGGTGCGATAGGTTCAGCACTGCGGGCAGCGGAACTGGGCGGCGCTTAAGAAAGCTCCAGTGTCAACCTATGGCGGGTGTCACGTTGCAGGGCTCGAGAGTATTATGTTTATGAATTGCGTTGGGTCAGATCCCTAAAAGGTTCTCGAATATAATGTATAATGTATGTATATATATATATATATTATGGAATGGAATACTTTTTTGGGTAAACGCATCAACAAAAAGTTCCACACATTTTATTTTTGGTCTCATCTCTCATTGTTTTCAATTAAAATCAAATGTGTTTTCAGCTTTTACACTTAGTCCTATACAACAACATGGCACAAACTAGAGGTGTATGTTACTATAGTATGGGTGAGGCCATTGCTCATGTGTACATTCTAGCTGCTGTTCTCTATCAGGGCTACATCATCACAGAAATTGGCAAAAATGGCATATCTTAAAGTCAAAAATGCTAAAAGTAATGCTTGCCAATGTACATTTAATCTGAATACATTTGTTCCCAGTGGAAACTTGGATAGTTTATTTTTGCAATATGCTTTACCTTTAAGTAAATACAACTCTAAGACAATTATAATCGGTAAATTACATAAATTATAAATTCATAGTCAAATTTAATGCTTATTATAAGTGGCTAAAAAAGTGATATTTACTAAAATAATTTGTAAAAAAGCTGATGAGGTGCTTTTTCAATGTTATTAAGGAGCCTAAATGATGAACACATTTTAAACAAATACTTAAAACCTTAATAGTAAACTATCTCATGTAACTTATCTTAAAGGGCCTATGTCATGCTTTTCCGGTTATTACCCATCCCCTTGTGTGTTATGAAGGTTTTTATGCATGTAAACGGTCTGCAGAGTCAAAAAAGTACACCCTGTAGCGAGTAAAACTCCAACACAGAAAATACCTGTCTATGCTGCCCCAAAACGCCTCGTTGGAGATTTCTCATTTTCCATTGTTTGCTTCCTGGGTTCTTTTTATTTAACCTTTATTTAACCAGATAAAAGCATTGAGATAAAATCTCATTTTCAATGCTGACCTGGCCAAGAAGGCAGCAACGTTACATATAACACATAACACAAACATAAAATACAGAGAACATAACTAAGAAAACAAAAGACGAAAAAGCAGGAAGCATGAAGGCAGGAGCTCCAACAAGCCAGAGATGCTGTATGAGAAACCAATGTGATTTTGGAAAATTGCACAATTTAAAGCTATTCTAGTAGACCTCAACAATGGAAATATGATCAGTAGAAATGGCCATGACATGGGACCTTTAAAGACGCAATAAAAACATCCGGCACTCTGGTGACATTAAAGAGAGGTGATATTTTATTAATTTCAGATTCAAAATAAAAGTATTCACACAAACACATAATGAGTAAATAGGCAATAATAGCTCTTCACCCTTCAAAAACAAAGAAAACAAAAATAAAACTGTTGCATTGCCAGCCGCCACTTCACTATTACCGTGGTTACCGGGAAACATCCCATTCAACAAAAAAAAAATCATTTATAAAAAAGGAGGAATAAGCACACATTAATAGAACAGACTGAAAAACAGTGGTACTAAAAGCAGTACTGAGTAGTTAGTAAGCTGTTGAACTGGAGGTTCCCTGTTGTTGATGCTCAAATAAGCTAAAGTGTTACCAACCTGTAACACAGAGAGAATCAGAGAGACGGAGAAAGACCCAAGAGTCAAAAATAAACCTCTCACACACCCACCAGGGTGACAAATATATTTTCTGAGAGTATTTGTATTTGTTAACAGCCAGGAAACGGATATAAATATACCACAATACTTGATGTAATACACTCTTAGGTGTGCCATTATAAGCTATATTAGGTACTATACTATGTTGGAGTTATTTCAGACCTGGGTCCGCTCTCAAGTCCTCTTTCACTAAACTGTAACTTAAACTGGGTTAAATGCATAAAACTGGAGGTAGAGGTAGATTTTCCTGAGAAGTTGTAAGAGACAATAGCCTGTTTCAGTTAACTTGAAGACACGTGAAGCCCACACACACATCACATGCTTCCCTAAAATAATCCCATTATTTATCATCATCATCATTATATTAATAAATTTGCTCTAAAGGTAATCTCGGTGTGCCGGGTTTGCTATAGCATATCCAAAAAAAAGCAAAGAAAGAACAGGTAGTAGGAACATGATATAATAATGCATAGCCCTAAAAAGCCATATTTCAGACATATTCTATTTAATGAATCTTAGTAATACAGGTTATTTCATACAACAATTGTCCCAGCAGAAGGCATCTTGTTATTTCTAATTTTCCTTGTCCACAGTCCCCCTGATGGAGATAAAGTCAGTGGTGATGTTGAGTCAAAAGCCCCCAAAGCCCACATGCACCTTAACCCGTAAATGTTCCAGCAGAATTTCCACGTCAGCAACATGTGGGAACAAGAGTCAGAGTTTTCGTTTTCCATGCAAGACACTCTGGTTTCAAGACGTTCTTTAGCTAGGCTCAGGTGGGAATAAAAGCAGCACTATTTCAAGGTGAAACACTTGAAAGCTATGACAGAGCGAGCAAGCCAACCACAAGAGACTGCAGGGGCTTGTGCTGATTGGGAGTCAGCCCATGTAAAGCACTACATTTACGACCTTCCTGGATTGACTGGAAATCAAACACCAAGACAAAAAGAAATGTGAGATGAAAATAAGTCCAGCGGAGTTATTGTTTTTCTGATCTGTATAACAGCACATGAATGCACCTAACAAGCAGACTTTTTGAAATCAACCCAAGCGTTTAAACTGCATAACCACACAATAATGTACATTTGTCAAAAGGAAGAAAGAAAGAAAACAAAGCGGCTACAGACACACGGACACATAAAAAGCAGCTGGTAGCATTCAGAAATAAATACCAGTCTGACTATAAAACCTGATAGAAATTCTTCTCCAGACTCAGAACAAACTCTGGTAAAGAACAGAGTTAAGACTGATATAGTTTTCACAGCTACTTTGCTCCAATGTTTTGTAAATTATGGAGAAACCTGTTTGACCCCAGCAAAGAGAAACAAGCAAGAAAGGATGTTTGATTATTGATTGTTTACTGGTTTAAATAAGTAAACAAATTCTGTAATTATATGCCTCTAAAATAGTTTGTTTCAGTGGAGCCTTAATGTGTCCAGTGATGAGGCCTTGTCACTTTAAAAAAGAAAACACTAAGTAGTAAAATGAAGAAATTAACACTTAAATATGTCCTTTGTTTGCAGTAAATGTCCACAATGAAGGACAATAAATCTTCACAGACTTAGCTCAGACCTTTTTTGCCTTTCCCTTTAGGAAATGTGAACTGATAGTGCGTCATAACAAAACCTTCCACTGAGGGGAGCTCTCAGTAAAGAAGATGAAGCTTGAACTCAACCCTGAACTGTACTAACATCTCTGACTTCCCTTTCATAACCAAAAGTTAATATCTTATTGTCTGTGGTCATTACAACCTCTTTCATAGTCTTTAATAACCAGCATCAATATCGTTTTGATGATATTTTTCTGCTTGAACACAACCTTGAAAAGTCTGTTTTGGCTGAAGCCAAGGCTTTGTTATTCTTGAGGTAGAAGCTTGCTCTGTGTGGTTGAAGGGATGTCAGAGTGTTTGGAGGTATACAGTGTTAATGTCTCCTGATTGTCGCTACCACGCAAGACCTGCCGTGCACATACAGTACAGAAAGAAAGACAGAGAGCTGCAGTACCTCCACTGTTCATATGCAAATATCCCAGAGAGGGAGACAATAGATTTATACGATAAACATGGATCGATTGAAGGGGGCAGGTGCCTGAATGTTGCCTCGGGGGTCAAAAGGTCACAGGGTCAAAAACCTAAGAAAGCAGTTGATCCTTTAGATCAGTATTGATTGAATTTTGCTCTCTCGAGCGGCCCTCCCCCCTAAACTAATGCTTTCAGCCACAGCATGTCTCTATTTGATTGTCAGCCATCACCAGTAACTGTGACATCTGCTACTCACGCAGAGAGAGAGGCATGCTGGGACTTCTGCGTGTTACCAAATTGACCAAGTAAAAACATCAGTTTACATGGTAATCTATGAAATGAACAGTTGCCTTAACGGGGGAATCGAGGAGAAACTGACTGAAAACTGAGTTAAGACCAGAATGGGAATTCTTGACATCATACTTTATCCCTATTAAACTCTATGAAACACCAAATTGTGATGACTTTCGATCGGCCAGTTAAAGGTAGCTGGTGAAAAAGCCTTTACTTAAATTGAAATCTACTTTCTCCAGTTTTCTGGAATCAAACAAACTTTTTTGATGCTCTAAAATATTGGTAATTGAGCTTGTTATACCATATACATAATTCAATAGCCATATCTTAAACAATAACGGAGAATAAAGACACACATCAGATATGCCTGCTGCATGCTAAGAAGAAGTCAGATGGAACTGCCTGTTTGATATGTACATTTGTACTGTAGGAATACAAATTCATCTATGACAAATCTACATAAAGAACCTGAACATTAATCAATCATGGGCTATGATTCCTTATCCGAAATCACAAAATCTTAATCTAAAAATGATTTAATCTGATGAGTTGACTGTAGGTGGTTGGATCTAAAGAGTAGCATTAGACTGATAATAGTGAGAAAAGGCTGTCGCAAGTCTTCTTTTTTATATTTGCGTTTTTGAGGTTTTTGCATTTCAAACGAGCTTTCTCGTCACACTTGAAATACAAAGTTTTTTCTATTGAGTAGTCAAACTATACTTTTCTTATTTTTTATTTATGATTAACAGCTAACAGTTAATGCCAAACAGCCACATGCGGACACAAGATTATTAAATAGCCATTAAAGGTTAGTGAGCCGCATAATTCTCCAATGTTATTCAAACGTCTGTTTACAGTGTGACGACCCCAGCGTCCTCTGCCTCAGTCCTGTGTAGTGTGTGTGCGTGATTGTGTGTGTTGCAAGGCCTTGGCTGGGGGAGCTGAGATGCCATTGTGAACATGTGCCAGTTCCTAACAAGTTACTTTAGCTGACAGGTGGTACATATGCACAAATGTAAACCTCAAAAACACTAACAAGCAAAACGGCATCGATGCAGCAGGAGCACTTTCTTCCTGTAGGTGGTGACACTATTGACCCGTAAGACTCTTTCGTCACTAAGCCTTATTCCCAATGTAGCAATTTCCGATTTAGACATGTTTGACTGTGCTATTATTCTGCCTTTTAGCATCCATTAGATACGCATACAGCAAATGTAGAATATGCGTCCCAATTTGGGATCTTCTGCAGTTTGCAACACATGGTATTTTGCCAGCTTAAGATCATTGAATACAAACTGAGATAGAGAGGCATGCTCAAAAGAAAAGCTTACATTTCAAAATGTTGACGGGAGTAAAAGTGGAATATTCATTATCATCGGTCATGTCAACAGTTAGTTGTTTTTTTTGGAATAAAGGCAAAAAGGCTTGTAAACAAAGTCTGTGGTTTTCCACTTCGTTGAGATCAACCAATGAGATCCTGTCTCTGCTTCCAGTTCTACCTTTGACAAAAGTTGTAAATCAAACTAAACCTTCACTTGTCTTTTCTAGAAGGTAACAAAACTAGGACAATCCTCACTATTTTACCATCTTAAAGACAACATTTAATTATTGTATGTGACTCTGAAAGAGAGTTGTTGGCTGTCAGAGTATGGAGAGTACTTTTCAAAACTAGTCTGTGTTTGTGTAGCAGCTGGTGGTGATTTCCCATTGAGGGGCACGTCCAAAATCAAAGCCGCGACAGCCATCTGGTGATATTTGACTGGAACAGTAAAAAGTGATTAGACGGAGGTACTGCTGACTCTCTGGTCCTCTCATGCTGTGTTAAGGCCTCAGAACAGAACCCACATACAAAGCCTGATTTACTTCCTAACGTCAGTAGGAATGAGGCTGCTTTTGGTGGGGGTAGAGTAACAATCTTTAACAGTCCAGAGAGGTAGCACAGGTTCAAATTCTAAAAGCTGAATGATTGATCTACTTTAAATGGCAGAAACACAACTTTACGTGAATGATATGGTATCTTCACTGTGGCGGATTTAACTTTTTACAAATCTCACTGCAGCAAGTGTTGATAGAAACACTAAGACACAAGCGGGTGCTCAGCTGCAGCTACAATTACCTCTGAGATCACATTGTCAAAGCCCTAATTAAACAACATCTAAAAACAGTCAAAGGATCACAAGACATTCTCTGTAATATCCTTGACAGCCAAGGAGACCTGGTCCCTGTCACAGCACAGGATAAGAAGCACTTGGATCAGAAGAAGCACTAAGTCATGCAAAACACAAAGCTGAAATAAAAATAAAAGCATCTGTTAACTATAATACAACAACAACAAATCAGATTTAAGCTAACATAACACCTGATTGTCCATGTAAGTGTCTCCACAATGATAGGGATTTAGTGGATACACGACTCCTTTGATTTAAAAGCATGAAACCACAGTTTACCTGCCTCATTCCTGATCGCTGAAAGGCTTTATCTACAAATACAGGCATGCATATGACCTTAAGACAATCACTCCACTAGAAGGCCAAGTAAGAAAAACAAGATGAAAATCGATCTTTCTGCAGAGAAAGATGTTGAAAAGCATTGCTCTGGCTTTGTCAAGATATTGTACAAAGCGATGAGCATCAGACACCTGAGAGCAGTCGAAAATAGTTATTATTCACATACAATCTGAACCCCAAACAGCAACAGTCTGTGTGGACGCTACTGAGGCTCCGAAAGTCCAGCGTGTTAGCTGCGGCGAGGGTAAAAGAAAGACTAAGAGTTCATATCCCCGCCTGCCGAACTGACCTTACTCTTACAAAACAGCCATTTTGAACTCAAAGCTAACTCACAAAATACCTGCAAGATTGGCACAGATATACATTAAACTGGCCTTATGTCAACAAGCAGGATTTGGATAAAAACATTATCCAGCTGTAACGGGAGAAGCACGACAGCTTCAGAGCATTCAATAGCTATGTAGCATTGTAACCACTCTTGAGATGCGGTTTACATTTTGTTTCACTGGAGAATCTGTGCACTAATATGATGTGTATCTCGGTACACAACAGGAGCGACCGCAATCTCCCTAATAGAGATCCAAAATGGCTGCCTTGCGAAAAAGGTTTTACACAAAATGAGGTCACAATGGTACATTGTTATATGCCCTGAAGAAAAAGCTTTTCTGATTAAAAATAGAGAATATTCATATTATCTTTTTTTTTAATATAATTCTAAATATATTTTTTTCCTGCAGTGAGAGGATTGTTAAAGATTTAAAATTAAATGATAAAACACAGTAAAGAGAATAACAATAACAACAAAAAGTTAAAATAAAATAAAAGAATCTACCCCCTAGAGGATAAAACATTGCTGTCAATCAGTAGCTGTGTTTGTGTGTAAACAGTGCATTACCCTTCCTAGTTATTACCTTCTCTTTTGTTCTCCAATAATCTGTACATTTATGCAGAAATAAATAATTCACAGATTGTGCATACATATTTGTTTAGCATATACTGGCTCTCAGTTGAGATATTCTTTGTTTTCTCCCCGCAATAATTTTGGCTATGAAGAACAAAAGAGGTGAGTTGGTGAGAGAAAACCTGAGATAGTGTAATTCAAGTGATCTGAGTTTCAGTTTGAGTCTCTCTGTACAGTTAATGGTTCTTCTCTTTTTGGCATAGATTATGTAGAAAATGAGGTTGAGTTTTGGCTTTACTTAGCGTGGTAATTTAAAATAAAAAAAAAGGCTGGGGTTTATTAAGACAACGGGTTGCTTGAGGTTGAGGTAGGTGTGTTCTGGTGCTGCGCTGGAGCAACACGACTGCTGACCGTCTTGTTGGAGACGGACGATCCGACTGCACCGGACAAAGCTGCCCCTGCTGCTGCCTGAGCAAAAAGAACGCCTGCACAGAAAAGATTAACAGAAAATACGGTTCAAAATACAGAATATATTTCAGCAACGAAACTCGACATGAAATTAAACAAAAGACTGGGAAACCAAGAGAATTTCATAAAGTTGAAATGACGCCATTGCTTTTACCAAACCTGACAATCATACAGTGACAACAAGAAATATTTACAACAGATCACTTCCCCTTTGTGATCAGTTTTTTGTACAAGGCTAAAAATAAACACATTCTTCCAGTTTCCAGTCTTTATCTGAACAAATACTGATCAACTCAATGAATGTCCCTGAAAGGGCTGTACTGAATTGTAAATGTTAATCTATATTAAGGTCTTACAATTAATCTTTAACAACCCATGACAACACATTTAAAGAGAGATTTGTTATATTTGTATATTTAATTTATTTCTGTCTTTTTGAGTCAGAAATAAAGTCAACTTTATGAATGAAGCTTGCACTCCTTGGTACAGCCCTATTTTCTGATGGTATATCAAGTTTATATTTACTATTTAGTGATAAGCAGGGATCCCGTGTGTCACATGACAGTGTTACTCACCGGTGTACATCACGCCGTTGAGCTCCACTGACATGCTGATGCTGCCTGTGCCGTTGGTGGTGAGGTTCAGGGCCGAGTTCTGCCTGCTCTCTGTGAGGGAGACAAACAAACAAAACAATTACACCCCATTACATGATGGTGGCACAAGATGTGCTAAAATTACAATATGTTAAACAAAGAAAATATCATAATTCTGGTTAAAGTAGGTATGTTTGTGACGTATCTTAGCTGAAGTTTGTACTTCAAAATAAGTTTCTTACAATCACTGTTGTTTTACATATTAACTTGAGTAGCACTTGAAATGTTTTGGCTTTATGAAACCTGATGTACTTATATGATTCTATTTTCTTCAAGTTTGTATCTTCTTGGTTGAATGCACTTATTGTAAGTCGCTTTGGATAAAAGCGTCAGCTAAATGCAATGTAATGTAATGTAACTTATATTTTTGCATGCTATTTACTTATACTAATAAACTGCATTTAGGCTCCTTCATTGGCCTACTGTTTGACATATGTTTACCTATCTGTCCAACCTGGCTTCCCCCTTATAGGAACTTTGATTAAAATGTATTTCTATTAAAAGTGGGAATTTGTACGTCCATTACAACAAATCCTGAATGAAAATTCTAGGCAATATTTCGGCCATTAAATGTTCTTGTAGAAGCAGTCCAGAGTTGACTTCCCTCAACTGTCCAAAACCAACAGCGCCAACAGGCATTGACATCCGCATGTTTGATATAGCCAACATAAATTGGTGCTATTTAATTAAGTGAACTTTATCTTCAAGATCTATGTGTGCTATATTTTACATCTGGGTATTCAAAGTTGGAACTTTGTGTGTGAACTTGCAAAACCTTAAAATTCCTCTGAAGTCACCTGTATTATCAGTACTGAGAAACTGTTTGCGTGCTCAATCAGATAGACAGTAACCAAGGAAACTCGGCTATAAGATCAAAGTGTCAGCCGGCAGAAGGGAATCCCCGCTCAGTCACACACACTCATGCACTGTATGTATGCATGCTGCTCCTATAAGCTAAACAGGTCAACATATAGGCCTGCTGTGGGTTACTTCCTCCCTGTCGGCTGCTGTGGTGTGTGGTGAGATGACAACAATGGCTTGAGAAACTAACTGCCAGGAAGAGGGAGAGGGTGTAGAATCCAGCTTGTGTAAATTCTAAGGAAAAACAATGAAATGTAAAATCCACAGCAGATGTGGTATTATTGATATGCACCTTCTTCCATTATTGTGGATTATTTTAAAATGTTGTTCTGAGGTAGATCTGTCTGGAAGATCATACTTTGTGCCGATTGATTATGTTAATTCTTAATACATGAGTATGGATTTCCTTCCTTTATCCATGCACATGTTGCCCCGAGGCAATGTCATTAATCACCAGGGGATAAAATGGTATTCTTATGTGTTTAATTGTATATATTGATGTCTGTTGAACCAATACCCCCTGTACAGATCTTCAGTCTGACGGAATTAACGCTTTTTTAATATAACAGAGCTACAATTTTATTATGTTGTCAGACCAAAGATGAGTTCTACTTTTATCAGCTATCAAGAAATGACAGTTTTATTTATTTAAGCTGTGGTGGATTCACTCAAGTAGAAGTAAAAGTACTGAATTACTAGTTGATTCATTAGATTCAATTAATACAATAATGATATTGTTCTCAAACTGGTCTTAATTCATGACTTAACGTAAAAGTAGCGAGAAGTGCAAAAATAGAAGTACTTTGATTTTATTGCATATTGAATCAAGTGTAGTCAACCATCTATTCTTATGGGTAAAATCATTTTCAAGAAATACTTGATTACAACCGTCAGCAGATTTAGGAAGGCTAGTTCAACTTTTGTCTTTTATCTTTATATGATTAGAAAGTGGAAGAATTTCACAGGCTTCCTCATGTAATATGAAAAACCATGTCTGACTGTATGATTAGTTTGACTGAATGTATCAGAAGCTCCACCTCAGTCAGTACCTTGGTTGTTGATGCGGATGTTCATGGGTAACTGAGCGGTCATGGCCAGCAGGTTGTGTTGCAGCGCTCTCTGCAGCAGTCGTTGGTGTTCCTCTGCCGGCAGCGCCATCTTCTTCTCTGGTGGCTCTCCGGCCTCCAGTTTGTCCCTGAGCTGCTCCAGAGCCGCCATCTGAGCGGCCATTGTCGCCTGAGCGGCCGCCGCCTGCATCACCCCCATCGTGTTCCCCTGCAGCGCCCCCGCTGTCAGACGAGCCATACTGAGCCCCATCAGAGAGTGGCCTACGTCCTCTTCTAGCCAGACACCACAGCGAAGGGGAGAAGGGTTATTTTGATTGAAAAAGTACTAAATATGATGGGCAAGATATAAACCATAAACACACTTATATAAAAAGCCTATCTGAGATAGTATGTTAGTGTTTAAGATGTCTTACAGAAGAGAGGACAGCAAGGCCATTCCTGTTAAATGGTAAGGATGAGGACTACTTAGTTTTCCTAACTTAAAAAAGAACTATCCCCAGTCATACAAAATAGAGTAATTAAGTCTTACCACTCAAAATATTATCTTTCATCCTTCCAAAGTCTTTAAACATCACACATCATGTGAGTTTCTAAACGAATCTCACCTTTCTTGATCTTGTGGTTATGGATCAGCGAGGCTCCGTTGGTGCCCATCGTCAGGCCAACGCTGGCTGATGGGAGTTTGGGCGAGGAGAGCATGGTAGGGGTCCCGTTGGGCGAGTATGTGAAGAGGGAGCTGCCAAAGCTCTGCCGCCGGCCCTCCCGCCGATTACTGTCGATGGCTGCCTGGAGCTCGTTGGGGTTGCTCAGACTCCTCTTGTCACATTCATATGGGTACAGGTACTTCATGTATCTGAAAGGAGTACAATGTATTTATGTTTCACTAAAAGCCTGTTAACGCAGGGATGCGCCAAGCTTTAACCTACTGCTGAAAATTCAATTAGTTCTTATAACATACATACAGTATAAAGCTTTAACATTTTTGTTGGTGAAAAATTGTCAGGAAAAAACTATTTTGGGTGGGCTAAACCACTTGTCAACTGTATGACCAATGGTCTCTGCTTCTTTCATATCAACTATTCTTCTCTGATAAGTTTCCAAAATGTAACGAAGTACATTGCTATATGGACCAACTACAGAGAGTGACTTAAAACAAAGGAGTTATTGAAATCGCTGAGCAGTAGAAAACTGGTTCTAGGAATGAGAGTAATGGACGAAAGCATTTTGTTAAACATAAGCCAATAGAGTGCCACAGTGACGCGTCCTAAAACCCGGAAGTAAGCTGCGCAATTTCTCCATAGGATTTTGGAAAATAGCTCGAAATAAGGTCTGTGGTTGACACACATTTAAGAGACGGATCACGTTTTGTTCTCTTTTTATAACCCTACTAGGGGTCATAACCTTACCCTACTTTTATTATTATAAAAGTAGGGTAGACATGTGGAGATTATCCGACTGAACAAAACGTGATCCGTCTCTTAAATGTGTGTCAAGGACGCGTCACTGTGGAACTCTATTGTTCACTTTGTTAATAGGCCCTTATGGCTTGTCACTGCCAGTGTGGATCCAAATATACCAAACACACAAATAACACAGATCCAATTAAAACAACCAGAGGTGTGATCCCGTGTGTGTGTGTGTGTGTGTGTGTGTGTGTGTGTGTGTGTGTGTGTGTGTGTGTGTGTGTGTGTGTGTGTGTGGTGTGTGTGTGTGTGTGTGTGTGTGTGTGTGTGTGTGTGTGTGTGTGTGTGTGTGTGTGTGTGTGTGTGTGTGTGTGTGTGTGTGTGTGTGTGTGTGTGTGTGTATGTGTGTGTGTGTGTGTGTGTGTGTGTTTGTACTGACTGTGTGCGTAGGGTGAAGGCTGCACTGGTGATTGAGGTAGGCAGGTTGAGTCCCTTAGTGATCTCTCTCCACAGTTTCTTGTTGATGACCTCCACCAGGCCGCCCTTCTCTGTCACCAGCCTGTAGAGCATGTACAGATCCAGGACCTGCTTGGCCATGATGGGAATACGATTCACTGGCGTTCCTGTAATAACACAAAAACACACAGTGACCTTTGTTAGGAATAGTTGGAAATTGACATGCTTGAAAAGAGCTTTTACTATTTGTCCTATGCGAACAAAAAGGCAGGAGGATCTTTTGATCGGATTTTCTTAACTGGCCAACACACACATAGCAAGGAGCAGACTGAAGTACAGGTAAAAAAATGTATCAAAATGCAGTCATCTGATGGACAAATGGATTATAATAAGATACAGGATACATACTTAGACACCAGAGGGCGAGATATCCAAACATTTTTGGGGAATAAAGTATGGTGTACTGGAAAAGTGATGGCCCTTCATTTTGATGGATCTTTCGATTTCGATACATCCTTTGTCAGTAGACAGAACAGTTTAAATAGTTACTGTTTCATCAAAGCCTTCATTAATCTTTCCATCAAATGATATTCATTTAAACACAGAGCGACCCCGAACACAATCTTCAGGTCCACTTCGACCCAAAATATGATCGACCCTATGTTCATACCAAAGAGTGATGCCTCAGTTATAGGTACGACCTGCAGATGGCGCTCTCATATTCTCAGATCATGCTTGGCAGATCCGCCCATTGCCGTTGGCTCTGACACTGTAAACATGTAGTACTGTTTTTTTCAGTTGCGAGCACGTGTCTCTGTCTCATGTCAGTCATCGCCCCGCTGATCTGACTATATCAGCCATAAATCAACTTGTCATATAAACCAGACTGCTTAAGTATTATGGGAGAAGGAACACCTGAAATGAGTCATTGGCCATGACATGCAAATAAAATATTGCACAATTGGAAATGAGCTTTTATGTTGGCTGTGTCGCCATAGTGAACATCCTGCATGGTTGGTGAGTCAGTGTGTGTGAGTGAGAGTGTGTTTGTGTGTGCAGGGCTGGCGGATGAGCAGCAGGAGAGAAAGGTAAACCAATCTGTTCCCAGGCATCGATACGATGTGTTCCTTCTAGTTATAGCCTCGAACGAGGGGCTGCCTAACCATAAAGCAATCATCTCCGAAACGAATAAAGACCCCACCCATGTGAGTGAAAGATGATAAGACGTGTCTGTGTCGTATGTCAGAGAGAGGAGTGGAGGGGGGTCATCCCTCCCTCATATTCAACTATTAAGCATCTCTGTACGTAATGGAGTTCTGGATAGAAATAGAACATGGGATGGACAGAATCACCTCTGTAGAGGACCCTGACCAACATAAGATTTAGATTTGAAATCCAAACCAAAAACATGAAGAACGAATTTAAACCTTACCAAGTATCTTGCAAGCCAGTATATATTGCTCTATATTGGTAGAAAACAGCATGTAAGTTAATAATAGCTTAGCAAAAAGGCCTCATGTATGCTATTATAGAAGATAGAAGAAATGTGTTTGAAGAAACCCTTTTTTATTACATTCCTTAGAATATAGAATAGAGATACCATTGAATAGCAATGTAATAGTTGGAGCGTATTATGTTTTATTTATTTTATTTTCTGTTTGTATTTTGTTGATGATTTGTTGTTTCTTTTTTGCTTGCCCGTCGGAATTATATCACATTTTGTCCCTTTGGGTGAAGGAGGAAAGAAGAAGAAAATAGCTTGTTCTTGTCATTTGTAATTATAATGGAAACGATTTACATTGTTTACAGAAAAAATGTATGTGAGACTCTGGCTGGAGATATGACCTATAAAACGGTCCGATAAGACACTGAACGAACACAGTAACATACCTCGTTTTTGCATGAAGCTGAAAAGGTCATCCAGAAACTCTTTTCTCTTCGGGTCTCTATCCAGTTCATACAGCTGTAGAAGAGGAAGAGAAGAGACCAGTGAGACAACAGCTTTTGAATTAATATCAAAACCACCATCTAGGATCTGACACAGCAAGGAAGAAGACGACCAGGATGCTCTCTTGTTACAAAAGCATCATGAAAACATAATAATGATCAATCGATAGCTGTCAAACTTTGAAATGACGACATTCACTCGTAAAGGTTTGTCATGAGAAACCAGTCAGTCTCCCTCTGATCATAAGAGGAGGTGACAGGGGGAGAAACTTAAAGAAATGTGGAGCAGTCTCATTTGATGAGAACCTGATGTGGATCCAGCTGCCTTTGGCTCTGGAAAAGTTAGGTGAAAGTTAGCAGTAAAAGTGGGGCGCCAACTCGGGGGAGTACAGAGCAGCCATTGAAACCAGTAGTTGTTTTTCCAGTCCAGTTTGTCAGTATGATAGTAAAATATTCCCCAGTTATACAACTATGAATCACACAGTATCTGGAGGAAACATTTCATAATCTGTTATTTAAAGGTTGTGAAACACAAGCAGCGCATTGTTACTACACAGCCCGCAGCAAGTAGACCAAGCCACAACTAACCTTCATGTTGTGGTGAGCATTTCATATCACAAGAAAGCCTTCACGTCACAGCTCGTAATTGAGACAAGCAGCCATCGCATGCTAGAGCTGAAGCAATTCAATTTGACAGAAACCTAATCAGCAACTGTTTTCATGATTGATTATGGCCAAACCTCTTCTTTTCCCAGTTGCTTAATATTGTGAGCGTTTGACGCTAAACTTTGTCTTCTCATAAAAATATGTCTCTTGGTTAAGGACTGGTGGTCGGACTAAACAAGCAACTTCGAAAAAGTCCCCATAGGCTTTCAGAGAGGAGACGATATCAACATTTTCTGTCTTTTCCAACACGTAAAGACCAAAGGAAAGTCCAGGTGTTTTTAATGTTATCCTGTCACATGTCAAAATAATAATTTGTATTTTAATTACTCAAAGAGTGCTACCTTCAATTCTCAAAGTAAAATCTTGAAAGAGTTAAAGTAAACAACAACACAATTGTTGCAGTAAAATCCAAGTCTCATTCATGCGGTTGTATGCTCACTATTCACCGTACACACTTATTTTCATTTAAAACCTCACTTTTTGTCAGCACAGATAGTCTCATACTTGTGCAGGCGCAGGCAAGCCTTGATGAGTTTTAAGAGTAGACAATATTATGTTTTAATGAAAATGCATGTGTTTGAGATGTAGAGAGCATACAACTGGACATAAAAGATACATGAAATACATTTGCTGGTGTTAAACAAAGACCCCTTTTACTTTGATTAACTAAGTTTTCTGCTTTTTTAATTCTTCATTCACCAGGCATGTGACAAAAACAAAAACATTTTCAACCAAGACTTTGAAGGAGTAATTAATATACAAATGCTCATTCTGGGGGGATGATGACATTTCCTTTAAAGCACGCAGCCAGAGAAAGGAAATGAAAGGCTCGTCCAGGAGAAGTCATGTATGATTTTTGGCAGTAGTGGCCTCTTACCACTAAAAGACGGCCCCTCATTGTGGCATTTAGCCCTCATTAGTGACACCGAGCTTCCATGAGATCTTATACTCTGCTGGGAAGGGGGAACAGAGGGGTGGGAACTGAAGAGGGTGGAGGTGGGGGATGCTGGGTAATGTACATGCCTGCTGGAGGCAAGGGGGAGTTTTAATTACAGGATGCATGCATTTGGTGAAGTGCCGCTCCATAAATCTTGGAATAACCACCCCCCCCCCTAAAACTCCCATCCCCCCATGTTGCTTTATTTGCTCTGTATCACCACCCCCCACCCCCTCCCTCTGTCCTGATCACACAAACAAATGTTTCCCTAGTGACATGGTGGGAGTGCTGTCACATGGAAACAAGGAAGCTGAAGCTCCAGATGTGGTAACATGGCATGAAAAACATTTCGGAAATAACAAAATGCAGTGTACTTTTTGCAGTATGACACCAGCAATCAGTGAGAGCATGATACACAACACTCAATGGACTACTGAAGTCTTAACTATTCATGTAACGTTTGCTCATTTGCAGCGTAACAGTGTTGACATGGCAGTGTGTTGATAGTTTTTACTGTTTCCCTGAGACCCGAACTGTCTATCAGCCTAAAGTGAAGTGTGAACTGTGTTGACCCCCTCACAGTATTCCTCTAACTAATCCATATAGAGAATACGCAGTTAACACAGACAAATAGATGGTATTTTGTTTTATATTGATTAACATGTGACTTTAAATCTGCATTCTCCTGGCTTTTACCTTCTGTTTATGTCTGATTGATGACAGTATCTTATCTTATCTTATTCTGGATACAGTCCTTCCCTAGTTATACGCATCTCTCTCTCTACCTTCTTTTAGTTTTGTCCAGGTTTCGGAAAGCAATATGATTTGAGCCAACACAACCCAAAGACAACCGAACATCTGAATAATTAACATGAAATGTACTTGACCTGTAATATTATTTAATTTATCCACTTAATACTTCAAACAGGCCTTTTAAATGTCACTTTATAATGACCTTACTTAGTTTAAGTAGTTAACAGAGTGATCAAATCATGCCTGTTTCCTACATTTCACAGAAATTGCAATCAAACTACTAAATGACGCATAAATCTGCTCTCATGCACGTTTAGCTGAAGCAACGTTTTTGTAGTAACATTAGCTAGGTAAAGTAAACCCTTGTAGCATCAATCGACAAGTTGGTGGAGTTAAATACTGGAAGTAAAGGTGGAAGGAACCAGTTTAATCCTAATATTATTTAATTATCAACAATACATGTGGCTCATGTAAACACAGTCACTGATAAAAATGTACATCCGAATGAAACACTATGATCTAAAAAAACAACTAAAGAATGTAAGAAAACAACTTGAAAAAAACGGGAGTAATGGCCTTCCCTTTAGAACCAAGGGAAGGCCAAGAAATAAACTCTCTAAACTTGGTTTGTCTAGTTGCTGCAAATGTACACATCACTCTTCAAACAACACATTGACTTTAAAACATGTCAACCTGCGGCTCAACAGAAGCTGGTAATGGAGCAGCTGCATTATGGAAAGCTATAGTTGTTATAGGTCATCATCAAAGTGGGACACCTGGAGCAGCCAATCAGGAGCCTGTTCAACCGGCTCGACCACAGCCACCCCTCACTATATATTTTCTTTACTCTCAGCTCCATACATATAACCCTTATGTACATTATTACTCACCTGTCGCAATGCACACACGCAGGCAAACACACACACTTTATCATGTATATGTGGGTGTGGGTGTTATTATATAGGTTTAATGTCTAGAGAATGTTCACAGTGGCAAGGGCCCCTCCAGGATTAAAGCTCTGCTATTCAGATAACTGAAAAGAAACTAGATAAACGACTACAAAGTTGGCCAAGGCCAACTGGTAATGCCGGGAGCCAGTTAACGCCCCATCACCAAATCTCCTGCTACAAAAGGCCCATTAAAACAGCAGAGCTTACTAGAAGACTTCAATTTGAAATTGTTTATTTGCAGCAGGGTGCTGAAAATTAATTATACTAAACTGCCTGTTTTTACACACTTCAAAATCTGTAACTGGGCTTTTGTTATACAGATATTTGGTTGTAACAAGCTTAGAATTGGCATCCAAAACATAATTTATTTCAGCGTACAAACGGTGACGGGGGAGAGCGAACCATATGCTGTCTGTTTAGCTGCTAAAGTGACGAGACTTCATATTTGAACAAGTATTCAGTGTTTGACTGAGTATGTAGGTCACCCCGTCTGCAGATAAATTATAAACAGGCCAGAAAACAAAGTGGTCTTATACTGAAAATAATCAGTAACCAAAGAGAAGCCTGTAGCTTTAGCCATCAGGTGGTGGTAGGTGATACTGTTAAGGGGTGTGTGTGTGTGCATGTGCGTGTGCGTGTGCATGTGTGTGTGTGTGTGAGGGGGGAAGGGTTCACTTCACTGTAGTGTGGCCAGAGGCACTAAAGTGTCACATAGCACACAGAGGCTTTGCAACTGAAAACCTAAACTGAGAGAAGACCAGGGTATCGTCTACATGCTCCTTTACACCTGACAATCACCTGACACACACACAAACATGTACACACCAACACACTCAGGATCAAAGTTTACTCATCTTTTAACTTACAGGGCAACCTTCAACGTTATAACTACGCAATAAGATGACATATGATAACCATAATAATAAGTGTACTCAGTAATTTTTCAGGTAAAATGTATCTTCTCAGAGGAGACGTGATGCCAGCGCAGCATGCAGACGCACACACACATATAGTGGACTACATGTTCCTCTTTATACAGACTGATTAGATAGAGGGACAAGTAAAGGCTGCTGTTACCAATTTGAATATGTCTACATCATTATCATTATTATTTAATCATTTTTTATACCAAGTGAATTATGCAATTTTGCTGCGAATGTATTTTTTTTCTATTCAAATACATTGCAAAAGTCAGATATTATCTAAGGTTTCACCTCTTTCACTATGCGATTTAAAGTGGAAAAGGCCTTTTGATTAGTTTGAGATCAGTCCTTGAATATCATTATAACATTTTTACAGACAATCTTTTGGATGTACACAGAGCTAACCTTGAGGTGTGATTAATCCTTTGCAGACTGTGTGTTTTATTTACTGGAAGACTATTTCCTGTGGTTGAACGGAGCAGAAACTAGGTTTACATTGGGACTCATTCCCCTTTAACCCAATATTGGAGGACCAGTTTCACAACTTCAATGAGTCTAAGTCTTTCAGTTGTAGTATGAAGTGTTTTCCACATGTCCTCTTGACTAATTTGAATGAATTAACACTCTAAGTTGCTGCGTTTTTTACTTTTAAGTACGACTTTATCAAACAAACTCTTAAAAAATACACAAAGATGAGTTGTGGACTCTAACAGAACAGTTTGTAAGAGAGCTGAGAAGAACATAACATGTAAACACGCACACACAGCACATATACTGTGTATAAACA